TACCTATAATCCTAGCACTTGGGAGGCCTAAGCAGGCGGATCTCTTGAACCCAGTAATTTTAGACCAGCCTGGGTGACATGGTGAAACCTGCATCTCTACAAAACGTACAAAAATTAGCCGAGTGTGGTGGCACACGCCTGTAGTCTCAGCTGCTTGGGGACTGACCTGGGAAGATTGTTTGAGCCCTGGAGGTCAAGGCTGCAGTGAGCAGTGATTGGGCCATTGTACTCCAGCTTGGACAACAGGGTGAGATACTGTCTTTAAAAAAAAAGGAAAAAAAATTACTGTTACTTTTCTCTTGTTTGTTTTAGAGCCATACTTCAGATTTCTTTTTTTGAGGCAGGGTGTTGCTCTGTTTCCCAGGCTGGAGTGCAGTGGCAGGATCTCGGCTCACTGCACTCCTGGGCTCAAGTAATCCTCCCACCTCAGCCTCCTGAGTAGCTGAGATTACAGGCATGCACCACCATGGCTGGCTAATTTTTACATTTTTTAGCAGAGATGGGGTTTTGCCGTGTTGCCCAAGGTGGTCTGGAACTCCTGGGCCCAAGTGATCCAACTGCGTTGGCCTCCTGAAGTGCTGGGATTACAGTCGTGAGCCACCACTCCCAGCCTGCTTTAGATTTTCTTTTTTTTCTGTTTTTTTTTTTTTTTTTAAGACAAGGTCTCGCTTTGTCGCCCGGGCTGGAGTGCAGTGGCGCCATTTCAGCTCACTGCAACCTCCGCCTCCTGGGTTCAAGCGATTCTCCTGCTGCAGTCCCCCAACTAGCTGGGATTACAGGCGTCCGCCACCAGGCCTGGCTAATTTTTGTATTTTTAGTAGAGTTGGGGTCTCACCATATTGGCCAGGCTGGTCTCAAACTCCTGACCTCAAGTGATCTGCCCGTCTTTGGCCTCCCAAAGTGCTGGGATTATAGGCGTGAGCCAACAGGCGTGAGCCACCAAGACCAGCCTGCTTTAAATATTTGCTATAGTTTAGAATCAAGAGTCAGGTTTTGCAAAGATTTCTATTTTTGGTTAGAGGAGGTGGGAGACAGAAAAGCCAACTTGGAGAATGTGTTGAGGTTGGTGTTTCTTATAAGAGATTGGTATAACATTAATGATCAGTACTTCTGTATTTCTTTATTTTTTGAGTGAGGAAGATTGTGAGTTTTGTATTTTTTTTTACCCACTATTGTGTAGCGGCTTTTTTTTTTTTTTCCCCGAGATGGAGTCTTGCTCTGTCGCCCAGGCTGGAGTGCAGTGGTGCGATCTCGGCTCACTGCAAGCTCCGCCTCCCAGGTTCACGCCATTCTGCCTCAGCCTCCCAAGGAGCTGGGACTACAGGCGCCCGCCACCATGCGCGGCTAATTTTTTGTATTTTTAGTAGAGATGGGGTTTCACCGTGTTGGCCAGGATGGTCTCAATCTGCTGACCTCATGATCCACCTGCCTCGGCCTTCCAAAGTGCTGGGATTACAGGCGTGAGCCACTGCGCCCGGCCTAGCGGCTTCTTAGTGTAACACTTTAGCCATAAAAGTAGGTTGTAACATACCTCTAGTGCTGGTGTTCGAGCCACTAATGCCACTAGGTTTCTTGATGCCAGGACGTCTATTAAATAAGTAATTTCTTGTGATTTTAAATGTTTTTAAAAGCCTTGCCAAATTAGAAAACATTTCTCTTATTAAACCAGTGTTACAATGGTGAAAAAGAGCTTAGAGCTTAGTGAAGGAGAGAGGAGTCCTCAGAAAGTGATGGTGACCAGCAACGGTGCAGGGAGGAGTGGGTGAGCAATCAGGTCCTGGCTCCAGGCTCTGATGTGGCAGAGGAAGAAGAGGGAGGGGTGGCTTGGACTCTTGCTCATGTTGTGAGTTGGGGGTCACAGGAGGAATAAGGGCTCCATGTTGGGCATGTGTGTGCCTGACATGGGGATGTCCAGGTGGAGATGTCTAGGAAGTAACTGGCTTCATGTCCTGCAATCAGATGAGAGACACAGGGCCAGTTAGCATTAGCACGGAGGCCAGGTGATGTGGCGTGAGCCGAGATCCTGCCACTGCACTCCAGCCTGGGCAACAGAGCACGGCCCTGCCTCAAAGAAAGCAATCTAAAGTAGGGTTCTCATAAAACAGACAAAAGGAAAGTGGGAGGCCAACAAGGATGAGGACAGATGGGTATCCGTGTAGAGCACCAAGACAAATGGTTAGGCACGAGAGGCAGGCGGAGAGCTTTTCTGTTCTCTGCATCTTGAATTGGCTGCCTCTGAGAAGTGGAATTGCGTGGCTGAGGAACAGTGTGAGTTTTGTACCATGTTTGGGTATTACCTATTCTAAAAATAATTTTCTAAGGGCAGGCAGAAAAGAGAAGCCAGAAAAGTCAGGAAGATTGGTGACCAGCAGCGTCATATGACACGGGGGTCAAATCACACGAAGACAAAAGTTGCTCTTGGGCTTAACAAAGAGGTCTTCAGCTGCCCTTCGCCGTTTTTCTGGAGTGATGAGGTGGAAGGCAGGTTGAGGCTTTCACAGTTCCAATACTGGCTGGTTGTGTGTTTAGGAGGGAGATTTGGGAAGGGGCATAATTTGAAGTTTAACCATTTTTCTTATACAAAACATTCCAAATTTAACTTAAAGATTTAGTATTAGGACAGGAATGGACTTTAGAGTTTATTTATCTAACATCCTTATTTTTTGAGTAAGGAAACTAGATCCAGAGAAAGGAATGCCCCACTCGGATTAGTACTGGGGCCTGTCTAGCACCTGCCTCTCATAGGCTGGCCCCACCACTTAGCCTACTCTGTGCTTCCGTTTCGTCCTCTGTAGGCAATAATTGTATATTAAAGATTTGTCTGCGAGCATCCGGTTACTATATGTAAAGTGCTCAGAACAATGCCGGTATATAGTCTACAGTGTGTGCTCACTAAAGGTTCCCTATCAATTTATGATTCGAGCCACCATTCTTTCCAGTCTATTATAACCATGATTTTCTTTTAGAATTTTTTTCCGGAGGAGACCTTAGACCTTTAATTTACCAGTTTTTATTATATCCATTTCTTCCTAGACCAGGTGATAGGTTTGATCGAGACAGACCGCTGAGAGGACGTGGAGGCCCGAGAGGGGGTATGCGCGGCAGAGGCAGAGGTGGCCCCGGCAACAGAGTTTTTGACGCTTTTGACCAGAGAGGAAAGCGAGAATTTGAAAGATACAGTGGGAATGACAAAATGTAAGTTTCTTTGTAAATGCTATTTTCACTTCAAGATGTTGGCAGCACATGGTATGAATCTATTCTGCATTAATATTTAGTTAACTTTCTAGTACTGTGCTGTTATTCCTGTGAGAAGCTGATCCTGGGATTTTCATGAACCACTCTTTCTGATGTGGAGATCGACCGGAGACTAGCTTCTGGTTTACGGGACTTTTGTTTCTTTCCGTAGAGCAGTCAGAACTGAAGACAACATGGGTGGATGTGGAGTTCGAACCTGGGGATCAGGCAAAGATACCAGGTACGGTGTAAGTGTGTGCCCTCTGAGAACCCGCAGTTAAGTGGAAATCTCTGCATCTTTGCTTTTCTTGAAAATGATGTCTTCCGTGTTGTGCTTTATACCTCTGTGCCCCTAAGTAGAGACTGACTTTAGGCTTTTGTTTAGTGAGATAACTTTTTAAAACAGGTTTGCTATGTTGCAGTTAGATTTAAACTGCTTTTAAAATTCTGTAGCCAAACATATTTGTGACAGATGACCATGTATTTGCTGATGCCTCAAACATATGGCACTGTACATTTGCACATGCCTCAAAATACTTTTTGTTGGCTGCACACGGTGGCTCACGCCTGTAATCCCAGTACTTTGGGAGGCCAAGGCGGGTGGATCACTTGAGGTAGGGCGTTTGAGACCAGCCTGGAGAACGTGGTGAAACCCCATTTCTACTAAAAATACAAAAACTAGCTGAGCATGGTGGTGGGCGCCTGTAGTCCCAGCTACCCAGGGGGCTGAGGTGGAAGAGTTGCTTCTGGGAGGCGGAGGTTGCAGTGAGCCGAGATGGCACCACTGCTCTCCAGCCCCGATGACAGAGCGAGACTCAGCATCTCAAAAAAACAAAAAAAGGTTTTTTGTTTTGTTTAATTTTATTATTTTTTAAAATAGAGACAGGATCTCACTATGTTGCCCACGCTGGTCTGGAACTCCTGGGCTCAGGCAGTCCTCCTGCCTCAGCCTCCCAAAGTGCTAGGATTACAGGCATGAGCCACCACATCCGGCCTGAAATGCTTTTTAAATTTCTGGATATTCTATATGTTTTTACCTTTCAAAGTTCATGTGGATCCTTGACACATCTTCATTTTATAAAATCATTTGTAGATTGAAGCTTAGTGACAGGTTTCACCTGAGGCTCAAGTTGGACATTTCTCTGAGGCTTCATGGTGCCTTAGATGTGTGCCAGTCCTGCTAGTTAGAGTGGATACATGGTTCTGCTCTGTTTTATTTCACAGCTGGAGGGATGATGCCTTCCTGGTGTCTGCAGAAGAAGAGGTAGGGCACGCGGCAGGCAGGGCAGTGTGAGCAGTGCTACAGGGCAGGCTTCCCGCTAGCGCAAAGGCTTGAGGGGATCCAGGCTTCCACTTGGAAGAATAGCTGTCTCTTATACACATCTAGATGTGTATAAGAGACAGGATGGAGTCTTGCTCTGTCGCCCAGGCTGGAGTGCAGTGGTGTGATCTCGGCTCACTGCAACTTCCACCTCCCAGGTTCAAGCAATTCTCCTGCCTTAGCTTCCCGAATAGCTGGGATTATAGGTGCCCGCCGCTACGCCTGGTTACTTTTTGTATTTTTAGTAGAGATGCAGTTTCACCATGTTGGCCAGGCTAGTCTCAAACTTCTGACCTCAGGTGATCCACCTGCCTCGGCCTTCCAAAGTGCTGGGATTATAGGCATGAGCTACTATGCCTTGCTTGGGCACCTTCTTTCTTAATCATCAGATTTACCACCTTATCTAATACCACCACTTCATTTCCATTTGCCTTTGAACTTAAAATCATTTTGGCTCTAAGTGGTTACTTATCCTGGAGCGCCAGCCTTGGCCTTGTAATGTTAAGAGGTGACCACTTGTGCCCCTGGCAGGCTGGCATGTCTCATTGTTAAAATGACATGTGCCCCATGGCACTCATTTTGGATTGGTTTGTGAGTTAGAAAGTCAGAGCTCTTTTTTTTCCCCCTCTCTCTCTAAGACAGGGTCTGACTCTGTTGCCTATGCTGGAGGATGGTGGCTCAGTCTTGGCTTACCATCACCTTGAAACCCCAGGCTCAGTTGATTTCTTCCACCTCAGCTTCCCGAGTAGCTGGGACTACAGGCGCTTTTTTTTTTTTTTTTTTTTGCGACAGAGTCTCACTCTGTTGCCCAGGATGGAGTGCAGTGGCATGATCTCGGCTCACTGCAACCTCTCCCTCCCGGGTTCAAGTGATTCTCCTGCCTCAGCTTCCCTAGTAGCTGGGACTACAGGTGCATGCAACCATGCCCGGCTAATTTTTTTTTTTTTTTGTATTTTTGGTAGAGATGGGGTTTCACCGTGTTAGCCAGGATGGTCTTAATCTCCTGACCTCATGATCCGCCTGCCTCAGCCTCCCAAAGTGCTGGGATTACAGACATGAGCCACCGTGCCCGGCCTTTTTTGTATTTTTAGTAGAGATGCAGGTCTGCCATGTTTCCCAGGCTGGTGTCAAACTTTTGGGCTCAAGCAGTTCACCTGCCTTGGCTCCCAAAGAGCTAAGACTACAGGCGTAAGCCACCACACCCAGCTAGTCAAAGCTCTTAGGTGGTTAGAATTTGTAATGGAAAGCTTTTCTTAGAATAAAACTAATTTCTTAATAAATAGAGATAAATTTTATTTATTTATACATTTACTTCGTACATTTCTTAATAAATGGAGTAAGAAA